TTAATGTCAAGCATAACATATATATATATATATGATTTAGGGCTTTTTTTCTTCCTTTTTATTATTTGTAAATTTTTATTGAACTTCTGTGTATTTCATACAGAACATCTTAATCATTTTTATACTCCCTTCCCCATTGGCTCCCTCCCATAGCCACCCACCCCCACTGAATTTCATGCATTCTGTCATTTGTGTTAAGGTCTATTGAATCAAGTTAGTATCCCCAGATGTTCCTCAGTGCAAGCTCGTCCACTGAGGTCTAGTCAGCCTATCTAGAGTTCCCCCACCTCCTCCTTTAAAAAGATCAGCTCTTCCTCATCCAGAAATAATTAGCTACCAACAGTTTTTCTGGTAAGATTGGGGTATTCTGCTCATTTCCATGGTCCTATGCTGGGTCTTTGCTGAGTTTGCATGGGTCTTGTGCTTGCTGACACCATTGCTCTAACTTCATATGAGCAAGGTCCCAGGAGCCTATAAGACTCTATTTCCATATGGTCATATACCTCCTCCCCTGGGTCTTACAATCTGATGGTCCAACCCCAGCTTTAAGGCCTAATAAACACAACAATGACCAGCCCAACAAACTATATTGGAGCAGTAGTGGCACTTTTATCTTGGGGTAATCAACAGCTACCTAATTGGACTTAAAACCGATTCAGTAGAAGGACACCCAAGCATGGTACTAGTAAATACAGCCAATTACACATGAATGGAGAGGTCATAAATCTTAGAGAAAACACCAAGGTTGTCACATCCCTAGAGAAATGTAATTTCTTACTATGTGCTAAATATGGATCCTTATATTTACAGACAAATATCCCAGTCACCACTCATCAAAGAAGCTTCTTTTGCAATAAATGGAGATCATTAGAGTTCCACAACTGGTCACACACGGAGCTTGTCTGTGAATTGCCCAACCCTAGGTGGCACATCTACACAGAACCTCTACATCTAAGGCTCAGGTAACATAGTGGAACAAGGGGTCGCAACAAAGGGCCATGAACACAAAAGGACACAAATGGTCAAAGCAGAGAGGGTAAGGGTCTTCAGTTTGGGTCCTTGGACAGGACTCATATTAAACTTCATCCACCCAGAGCTCAGGGATCATTATGGAAGAGGGGTGGCAAGACTTTCTTTCTTCTTATAGGTTACATTCTGTGTTACAGGAATACATTTAATATATGAGTCCATTTATCGTGCAGTGCTAGTTAAAAATTTCTATTTAGCTCTTTTCTATTTCCTGTATGCAAATTTGATCTTTGCAAAAAGATTCTGTATTTAAAAATTAACATAGATTACACAGTTCTCTAGAAGCCAATGTATTAATTGGATATAGAGGAGAAAATGGGAATTTTGTTATTATTATTATTATTAATTATGTGGTAGAACAAGAAATCAAAACCATGGTTTTGCCCCTATCTTAATTCTCCAACATTGGGCTATATCCTCAGCACTAGTTAGGAATTACTGAGTAAATGAACCTATAAAGTATAATTAAGGGCTCAAAGAAAAGTATTATATATGTTTTTAAGATTTATAGAACATTTCCAAAATGCTCTCAAATATCTTAAATTACCCACATAAGATTTGTTCGTCCTGGTTTCTGTTTCCTTGTTGACTTTTACAAAGAGAAGATGTCAGGCCTAGTTTGATAAGATTGGGTTTCTGAGCTTTAGAAATCAATTCCCTGGTTGCTTTGGTGGCTCGAAGTTTCTTCTCCACACTGTACACTGCCCCTGTGTATACACCCTCCCTTCATAGTGACTATCCTCTTTAATTGAACCCATCACTCAAACCTGTGACTCAGCAGATTTCAGTCTCCCTTTCCAGTATGCTTCTTTCCACTCACAGGAAAGAGGCTCATAACAAATTGGGAAAAAGAAAAAATTATTCCGTTTCATCAGAGGCTTCAAGGCTGCTCTTTATGTTAATCTAGGGAGGCATTTTGAAACAATAAAGGATTAAGAAAAGCAATCTTTTTTGTGTGTCCAAAACAGTAAAGGGCAAGTGGTTTTCTTTTTATACTACATTCTCTTCCATATGAGCCAGTTTCCAACAGGAAAGAAAAATGAAGCTAATCAGGAAGAAGCCAGAGGCAGATGGAGAGGATACTGGTGAAATGGGAGTTATTAGATGAAGTTATGCATTCATCCCAGCTTTCTGACCGGGTTTCATGCAATACTCAAGTATTCTTTTTTAAATTTTTTATTGAAGTTTAGATCCCCTCTCCCAAATCTGCACCCTCCAAAGCTGCCCCCCCATGGATTTCATGCATTTTGTCATATATGTTAAGGTCTATTGAGTCAAGTTTGTGTCCCCAGATGTCCCTCAGTGTGAGTCCATCCACTGAAGGCTGGTCAACTTATCTAGAGTCACTCCATCAAAGAATACCAACTCTCTGTCACTAGAGAGTGACTGTCTGTTTTGATTTTGTATGAGTCTTGTGCATACTGTCAGTATTGCAACAAGTTCATATGACCAAGTTCTCTAGGGGTGAGTTCCCCAAATCCCAGTGATTCAGTCCATCTGCTTTGGGATCATCTCTGGTCCCTCCCATGACTCCTGGCCTCAGCCCTTCACTGCTGGCTACTAGGGGCCAGCACATT